TGCCAATGCGGGCGAAGAACTAACTGTTCGTGTTCAACCGTGTTCGAAGACCATGATCTCCAGCGCTAGATGTTAATCCGCTAATAACGCCGAGGAGAACAAACTGATTGTCACACGAAGTGCGATGAAGTGAAAAATGGCCATGACGTCTCTCAAGAATTACGAGAGCACAAATTCCAACCAGAATGGATTAGCAGACGAATTTTCTGCCTTATACGGCCGATCATGTGGCTCTCCTGATGACGGTCGGTGGCAGCCAGGAATTAAAACTGGACTGGGCGGGCCACCAGCTGTCGAATCGAACTTCCAAGAACACGCTGTGATGATCCGACGGTCAAACTTAGTTAACGGTGGAAGGAAAAAGAGAAAACATCGAATGATCGAGAAACGTTGTCTTGCGTTCATGGCTCACTCGAATCGAGAACAAATCAGATAACGGCTGGCGGATAAAAGATGATAACGAACCAAGTAGCCAGAAAAGGCAGATATCTGCAGGCTGTTCGAACGAATTTAAAATCGGTGCAAGATTTATCTAATTTACCTCTCTTTATCTAACTTATTTATTTAGTTTATTTGACCTTCAGATTATTTAAAACGACAAGCAGAACTAAATATTGAAGTGCCTGTATTTGACGATAGCATGCGTTGCGTGAGCAAGAATAAAAACAGACTCGACGTATTTCAGCAATTGCAATTGCAGTGAAAGACGATAGTGGTGGAGTTTATTTCAGAAAAGTGGACAGAAAGAAAATGGTTTGAACGTGGCATCTGGCAAGGGCGAAATCGCATCTGACGATGAAAATCTAATACAGTTACAATGAGAAATACTTTTAAAATAACTGATAAACAAGCAAACTGAGTTGGAATGAGGAAAAGCAATATAAACAAACGTGTTGTGTACATGGAAATGATTTTCTTCAGGAAAGAATTTCGATGAGCGGTCAGCAGGAAAGATCCACGTGAGTGATTGATGATAAAATGAATAAGAAGGCGAATTTCTGAAATTTAATTGTGAGGACAGAAGAATGTTCAGAGACAGTCAAACGAGCATTGAGCACTTGCGAAGCACCTGAAAGAATGTTCTCGTTCAGTCACATTATTGTGTTCTTTGTCTCTGATAAGCAGTAGGAAATTAGAATAGACAAGCTGGTTCAGGCAATGCGCAGTTCAAGTCTGAAATCAGTCAATAAAAGAACCTCGCAAGTTATAGCGGAAATCAAATAGCAGATGATACTGTGAGGTAAATAAAACGGTTCATCAAGTTCAGCACGCAAAGAAAGTCAATATATACGAAGAATGGCAACACGTGACACTTTGATTTGATTCTGGTTGCATTTGCTGGACAGGCATAGTGCACAATTCATGTAAGATACAATAATTAAAGCAAAATACATCATAAAATTAGATTAATGTTTTGATTATAAATACACCAGTTCGAAACACTCTAGCCAGCGGTGATTTGAGGCGCCAGTCCTTAAAGAATTCTGGGTTAGTGATTTCCAAAGGCAAGCAGCAACAATTACACAGAAGATTATGAAACTATTAATAGCACATTTTAGTTCAGTATTCAAATTAAACATATCCTTCAGGCACTTAACAACAGGAGTCAGCAGCGAATCCTCGATACTGGGTGAGTGGATCAACTTGAACCGGTCTGTTTCTTCATCGTAGCGTTATCGTCTGCCACATAACCACAGATATCTAGTTATGAACATAAGGAGCAAAGATTGCAATGTCCGTGAGGCAAATGACAAATATTCAACCGACGAATATGTCAATCGAGATGAAGGGTTGGAAATTTTTGGTTCCTGGGAAAGTGCACTCGCATCGACAAAAAAACGAATTCACTAAACCGGATATGGGATTACAAGTTGTTCTTAGCCTACGGTACGTACTCTTATGAGCAGCAGCATTCATGTAATAACAAGAAAACAATACAAGACGAAGTAATCATGAAGATGGTATGTGAACCGGATGGAAACATCAGCATTGGATTTGTCCCGTGATGGCTGCTCATTGTAGATTGCGATAATAAATCAGTTTTATATAGACCAGTTACTGGCTATCAACATGATATGTCTGACACAATTACATGAGTAAAATAAAGATTATTATTGATTTGAAGTGAATTTTGGACCACGGCTCAACATACTGCACGATAATTCACGAAGTTAGCCAATGTGCATGACTCTATTTTTTCAACCGTTGTACGATAAATAAATCACTGTGTCCTAGAGATTCCTTTATGCTCATCAGTGGCAACACCATTGGCTCCATTTAGTGAAGGATGTAAATGCATGATGGAAGATGCTGCTCTTACAGAGAACTGAAATCAAAGGCTGCAGTTGATGCGCTATTAGAATCACATAACAAAATAAGTAAAAGTGCATTTCACTGAATTCTGTATCGTCATCAGCCTTTGTTGATATCCTGCTGACGAAGTTCTCTCGAAAACTTCCCCGTAGACGCATGTTTTCTACAATTTTCATCTATCTTGATTCAGCGAAATTCTACCGCGTATCTTGCCACTGATCAGGAGGTCTTCAGAAAATCCATTATTTAAATCTTTTTGAAACTCATTAGAATCCGTAAAAAATGCTCCATAATAAAAATTGCTAACCTTTAATCTTGCCATTATCAGCTATATCTATTTTACTGAAAGTAGAATGCTTCTCATTGTAGAAGTTTGGCTGATTGAAGAAATTCTTTTAAATAACCAATTTAATAAATTCATAAGTGTCAATAAATCATAGTTGAAAAGACGGTCTATCTCGGCTCTGAAATTCAGTACGGAATGATCGCAAAAACAACGAGATGTGATGTTTCAAGTAAGCATTGAGAACATTTCTAATTTCCGTATCGTTCACAGTCTTCAGATGCTGTTTGAAACTTAATGAAACGGTAAAGGGATGAAACATTTATGATGATAAGTGCAGAAACGTCCATATGAGGTATTGAACTTCGGCTTAAACAGCCCGCATATTTCTCCTTGCAGAACGTCGTATCTGCTGTGCGGTTTTCCATAATCTCTTTTCAAATTTATCAGGCATTTTATCAATTTTCGTTTCCGTAGTTCAATGCTGGAATTTGGCAAGATAATATAACAGGTTGTACTTTTAACAAGCGTGTTCCGAAACTAACATGTTGTACATGAAACTCTACGCACATGAAAGACAGTGCAACAACACTATCAGCGATCTTCAAATTCATCGGCGTTCTACGGTTAACTACTGACCGTAATTCAAACGACTTTTGATGTGAGCTGAAAGATAAACAATATACATGTTTTTGGACAGTATGTTAGCTTTTCTTTTGTAAATATGAAAAATAATATTTTAATCAAGTAACAAGGAACCTCTTAGATGTCTGCCAAAAAAGTATCTTTTATATGAAAAGTCCAACACGATAATATTTATCCATCAAGCCAAAAGGGAAGGCTAAGAAGAATAATGTTATAACAATGCTTTTTATTGAATGGCATTGATAAAGTTGAATACACTGAAGGAATTACGCATGGCCAACAAGAAAGATGAAAAGTGATATGCTCTCATGAGAGGCGTTACTAAAGTTTCAAAGAAGTTACACTCCGATTAGCATAGTAGAAACCACGCATTATTAGAAGTACGAGGATTATATTCTATTAAGAATTATTCGTTATGAATTCACCGTCATTAAGAAAACTTTGATTGCTTGACAGATGTTTTGTCATGGAAAACAGTCATGGCTTTACTTGAAGTATAGGTAAAATACTTTTACCAAGAAGCTACGATCTGCAAGTGCCAACGTTAAGTGTTAAGTGAACTGAGTGCCATGATTACTGTATCACATCTACATAGAACGAGTCTAGCTCATGTTCATTGGAACACGACAGACGGGGAAAATCACCAACATGTAGCTAGCTCAGTCATTGTCCATTTAACAAATGTAATATATTCATGATTATTGTTTTCAGCGTATCCCTCTTGCCATAGGTTCGAGAATATAACCGGCGAAGCTTAAGGATTCAAACACTTTGTTCTATCACTCGTACTCCTGTCGAAAACGTAACAAAGTCTCTTGGACGCATACTCCTTCTGGTGTCGTTTGGCAGAAATGCGCTAAGCATAACAACGAAACTGCAGTGACGAAACGGACTGACATAGCCCTGCGTGATCGTAAACTAAAATTTCTTGCAATTCAAAAATTTGCAAAGATAATCAATATGCTCGAAAAAGAATCCTATGATATGAAGCAGGGAGTGACAAATAATAGAGAAGATTCATATGACCATCTGCCCAAATGATAGAGATTCTGTTTTACAATCAAAACATTTATGCTACTGATTATGAAATGAAGAGTTGCAATAAAGATCGATGCATCACAATGCCGAATATGACATAGAGGAGGCTTGGAGACCGTGGCGAAGTCGCCGTAAAATTTCGCCACCTGCCACTCATCGTATTGACGTCATCGAAGATTACACCGGCTCGTCGCCCGCGTTAACAAAGGCCGCGGAGACTGTTGGGGGAGGGGGGCTGAGGAAGGCTGCGAAAAGTCGGCGACTGGAACATCCTCATCGCCTTCTGCCTACCGGGGGCGTAACAGCAAAGCAAGGGCTGACGAAGATCGACGGAACGACGACGAAGGTACCAATCACCAATGAAGACATTACCCGTCCTGAACGCAGGAGACACACATCGCGATGCCGTTATAGCACGTCAGAATAGACTCCCCGAGAACGACACCGCCAGTGGAGCTTACAGTCTGGAACTGGAATATATCCTCACTCATAGGGAAAGAGCAAAAGTCAGTTGATGAGGAAATAAAGTAGAAACTCGACATAGTTGGACTCTCGTCAAAAAAGTGCCACGGCTCTGGAATCCTGAACTTCAGCGGATGGAAGCTATTCCACTCAGATGTCAATATTACGACGCGCGCTCAGGCAGTTGTTGGTGTTCTTGTAGAACCCAACCTCGCTGATAGAATCACTGATTGGAAGCCTGTCAGCTGAAGGGTAGTAATCCTTCTACTGAAGCTACCACAGGCTAAAGCATTGATCTCGTTACAGGCACATGTGCCCAATTTGGAGGGGAAATATCATGCCTTCCTTCAGGAGATGTAATGTGCACTGTACGAAATGCCGAATACACAGTCCCTCATAATCATGGGTGATTTGAATGCACATGTCAAAGTGGACGCTGAAAAATGGAAAGGTGCGGTTGGCAAGAACGGGCATAGCGACCTCAACAATAACGGTATGAAGTTGTTACGGTTTTGTGCAAACAACGGATTGTCCAATATGAACACCTTCTTGGAGCATCGAAGAGTGCATCAGCATACCCGGTACCGACAAGCTTGTGCACAGCAGTTGATAATCCATTTGATCGTAGCGTTGATGATCCATTCAATCGTATCGTGTGACTTGCAACACCCTGTAATGAATATTTGGGTTAAAAGAGACATATAGCTGTCAACCGATCACCACCTTGTTGTTGGCACGATACGTTGCAAGAAATAGAGTGCCATACGAAGATCTGGTGGCAGAAGCAATCCGTGAATCAAATGGTAAGGATTATCCACGGTGGACACGAGAGCGAAATTTGCAATAAACATCGTCCGACGGTTTGAACAGATCCCGGTGATGACAACTGATGCTGAAACCGAGTGGCAGCTCTTTAGGAACGGCATACTCGAGGCAGAGGCAGAATGCTCCGTATTTAAACGGGTTGGCCTGCCGCCTGGGGATCAGAAAAGATCTTCATGGTGGACACGAGAGGTATAACTGGTAGTTAAAGAGAAGAAAGCGGCGTTCAAGAAGTGGCTTGGAAACGGGAAGCCATCTACATGCGTGCGATATGTCGAGGCACGCAAGGCGGCAGTGAAAGCAGTGGCGAAAGCCAAAGCTGATTCCTAGGAGAAGTTAGGTGAGGTGTTGGAATCGATTTGCCACATGGCAAATAAGGTATTCTTTCAGGCCATCCACCGGCTCCGAGGTGAAAAGAAGGACAGGCTAAGAGTCTTGAAGGATAGATCTGGACACACTGTTACCGAGGATAAGGACATCCTTCGGCGATGCAGAGAGTACCATGAGCAACTCATTAACCGCTAGCAATCGCAGTAAAAATCGCTTGTAAAGCAGCAGGGAACGGATATTACTATGTTTGTAAATAAAATGAGGCAAGCTGTGAAAAGCTTGAAAAAAGGAAAGGCTGCTGAAAATGATAAAATCCGCCCAGAAACGCTGAAAGCATTAGGCGAACAAGGCATGGGCTGGTTTACACGTGTCTTTCAAACTCCAATAACTATGGGGAAGACACCAGCGGACTGTAGAACGGGAATCGTTTACCCCTGTTCAAGAATAGTGACTACAGGGAGTGCCATAGTATTTGTGGCATTAACTTTTTACGCCTCCCAGGAAAAGTTTAAGCAAAGGTGCTAAAAAGGAGGTACCGCGGAATAACAAAATCAACATACAAAAAGAACAATGTGGCTACTCGCCCAGTGAAAGCATCCCAGAGGATATATTCGCCCAACTCCAGATTGTTGAGAAATCGTGAGAGTTCCCCCATCCGATGTACATATGCTTTATTGACTTAGAGAAATTCTATGACTGGATCCCTCGCAGCACTCTATGGACATGCCTGGACACGTATAGGGTCGATGGCCAGCTGCTACGGGCCATCCAATTACTGTGTTCTGATAACAGGTGCTGCGTCAGAGTAAATAGCGTTAAGTCGAAACCATTCAACGTTCGCACTGGTCTCCGCCAAGGCTCCCTCCTGTCTCCTCTCCTGTTTGTGCTGTACATGGATAAAATAGTCAGGAGCAGCCAAGAAGATGAATGTATCGCTATAGGAGATATGAAGCAGAGAATATTGCTCTTTGCACAACGATCTTGTATTATTGGCATCTTCTAAAGTTGATCCTCAGTGCTCCTTGGAAAGTTTCGCAGTCGAGTCCTACATGACCGGTATGCATGTGAACATTAAAACGTATGCTTTCTCGTTTTCTTGAGTGTTGCTCTGTCAGATTAACGGAGAGGCAGTGGAGCAGGTGCAGAAGTTCAAGTACCTCGGAACTATATTTACTAGTGATAGAAAATTTGAGGAAGAA